CCCATTCAAAAGATCAACAAATCCAGGAGGTGGTTCTTGAGAAAAATGATGAAATAAGTAGACTGCTAGCTAGACTAATAAAGAAGAAAAGAGAGAAGATCCAAATAAACACAATTAGAAAAAAACAAAGGGAATATTACCACTGACTCTACAGAAACACAAATAAACATCAGAGAATATTACAAACACCTCTATGTACATAAGCTAGAAAATATAGAAGAAATAAATACATTCTTGGACACATACACCCTCCAAAACCCGAGCCAGGGAGAATTTGAATTTGTGAAAGGGCCAATAATGAGTTCCAAAATTGAATCAGTAATAAATAGCCTACCAACCAAAATAAGCCCAGGACACAGCAAATTCACAACTGAATTCTACCAGATGTGCAAACAAGAGCTTATATCATTCCTGCTGGAACTATTCCAAAATACAGAGAGGGAACTCCTCCCTAACTTATTCTGTGAGGCCAACATCATCCTGATACCAAAACCTGGCAAAGATGCAACAAAAAAAGAAAACTTCAGGCCAATATCCTTGATGAACACCAATGCAAAAATCCTCAAAAAAATACTGGCAAACTGAATCTAGCAACACATCAAAAAGCTTATCTACCACAATCAAGTTGACTTTGCCCTTAGGATGCAAGATTGGTTCAACATATGCAAATCAAAAACTGTGATTCATTACATAAACAGAACTAAGACAAAAATCACAAGATTATCTTAATAGATGTAGAAAAGGCTATCCATAAAATTCAACACCCTCTCACGTTAAAAACTCTCAAACTAGGTATTAAAGGAACATACCTAAATAAGAGCCATCTATGACAGACGCACAGCTGACCGCATATAGAATGGGGAAAAGTTGGAGGCATACCAGCACAAGAGAAAGATGCCCTCTCTCACCACTCCTATTCAACATAGTATGGGAATTCCTGGCCAGAATATCGTGGAGCATAAGGAAAGAAAGAGCATCGAAATAGGGAGAGGATAAGTCAAACTATGTCTATTTATGCACGACATGATACTATATCTAGAAAACCCTATGGTCAAAGACCAAAAGGGTTTTTCAGCTAACAAACAACTTCAGCAAACTTTCAGGATTCAAAATCAACGTACAAAAATTACTAGTACTCCTATACACCAACAACCAAGACAAGAGTCAAATCAGGAACACAATCCCATCCACAATTGCCACAAAAATAATAAAATACCTGTGAATACAGCTAACCAGGGAGGTGAAAAATCTCTACAAGAAGAATTCTAGAACACTGCTCAAATAAATCAGTGGTGACACAAACAAATGGAAAAACATTCCATACTCACGAATAGGAAGAATCAATATCCTTAAAAGGGCCATATTGGCCAGGTGCGGTGGCTCATGTCAGTAATCCCAACACTTTGGGAGGCCGAGGTGGGCAGATCACAAGGCAGGAGATTGAGACCATGCTGGCTAACATGGTGAAACCCCATCTCTACTAAAAATACAAAAAATTAGCTAGGCCTGGTGGCGAACACTTGTAGTCCCAGCTACTCGGGAGGTTGAAGCAGGAGAATGATGTGATCCCAGGAGGTAGAGTTGGCAGTGAGCTGAGATTGGGCCACTGTACTCCAGCCTGGGTGACAGAGCAAGACTCTGTGTCAAAAAAAAAAAAAAAAAAAAAGAAAAGAAAAGAAGAGAAAAGAGGCCATATTGTCCAATTTACAGATTCAATGTGACTCCTATCAAACTACCAATGACATTCTTCACAGAACCAGAAAAAAAAAAGTTTTGACTCATATGGAGTCAAAAATCAGCCCAAATAGCCAAGGTAATTCTAAGCAAAAAGTACAAAGCTGGAGACATCGTGCTACCCAACTATAAACTATACTACAAGGCTACCATAAACAAAACAGCATGGTACTAGTGGGAAAACAGACACATAGACTAAAGGAACAGAATAGGGAACCCAGAAATAAGACAACACACCTGTAACTATCTGACCTTTTAAAAACTTTTCAAAAACAAGCATGGGAAAAGGACTTCCTGTTCAGTAAATGGTGCTGGGATAACTGACTAACCATATGCAGAAGATTGAAACTGGATACTTTCTTTACACTATATACAAAAATCAACTCAAGATGAATTAAAGACTTAAATGTAGAACCCAAAACTACAAAAACCCTTGAAGACAACTCAGGCGATACCTTTCTGGACACAGGAACTAGCAAAGATTTCGTGACAAAGATGCCAAAAGCAATTGCAAAAAAGAAAAAAAGAGAGAGAGAAAATTGACAAATGAGAGCTAATTAAAGTAAAGAGCTTCTGCATAGCAAAGGAAACTATCAAAAAAGTAAACAGACAACCTAAAGAATGGGAAAAATATTTTGCAAGATACACACCTTATAAGGGTCTAACATCCAGCATCTATAAGGAATTTGAACAAATTTTCAAGAAAAAAAAAAAAACAGCCCCATTGAAAAGTGCACAAAAGACAGGAACAGACACTTACAACAGTAGACATACATGTCATATGAAAAAAAAGCTCAATTCACGGATCATTGGAGAAATGCAAATCAAAACCACAATGAGATACAATAATGGCTATTATGAAAAGTCAAAAAAAAAGAGGTGCTAGAGAGATTGAAGACAAAAATAAATGCTTATACACTGTTGGTGGGAGTGTAAATGTATTCAAACATTGTGGAATATAGTGTGGCAATTACTCAAAGAACCAAACTTAAAGAACTACCATTGAAACCAGCAATCCCATTACTTGGTATATACCCAAAGGAATATAAACCATTCTATCGTAAAGACACATGAACGTGTTATGTTCATTGCAGCCCTTTTCATAATAGTAAAGATGGGAATCAAACTAATTGCCCATCGATGATAGACTAGATAAAGAAAAAGTGGTACATACACACCATGAAATACTACGCAGCCATAAGAAGAAATGAGACTGTGTCCTTTACAGGTACATGGATGGAGCTGGAGACCATTATCCTTAGAAAACTTATGCAGAAACAGAAAACCAAATATGGCATGTTCTCACTGACAACAGCAAGTTAAATGATGAGAACACATGGACACATAGAGGGGAACAGCAGATAGTGGAGCCTACCACAGGGTGGTGGTCATGGGGAAGGAAAGGATCACAAAAAATACCTAATGAGTTCTGGAATTAATACCTGGGTGATGAAATAGCTGTCTGATAAACCCCTGTGACACAAGTTTAACTATATAACAAACCTGCGTATGTACCACTGAACTTAAAACAAAAACTTAAAAAAAGCAGATGCCAAAGAAGATGCAAAGAAAAATGTCTTATATACTCTTGGTGGGAATGTAAATTAGTACAGCTGCTGTGGAAAACGTTAAGATTTATCCGAAAAACTGAAATAGAACTATCATTCAATCCAGCAATCCAACTACTGTGTATCTATCCAAAGGAAAATAAATCAGATTATGAAAAGGATGCCTAAACTCCCATGGTCATTGCAGCAGTATTCACAATAGCAAAGATGTATAACCTAAGCATCCATTAACAAATGAATGGATGAAGAAAAGGCACAATATAGACACAATGAAATACTATTTCATTGTAAACAAGAAAAAAAAAGAATGAAATCCCATCATTGGAAGCAACATAGATTCAACTGGAGGTCATATGTTAAATAAAATAAATCAAGCATAGAAAGACAAATATTGTATGTTTTCACTCATATGTGGGAGCTACAAAATTTGATCTATAAAAGTAGAGAGTAGAATGATAGATACCAGAAGCAAGGAAGGGTGTTCAGGGGAGGAAGAATGATGAAACACTGGCTAATGAGTACAAACATAGAGATATATAAAAGGAGTAAGTTTTAATATTTGATAGCAGAGTAGGGTGACTACAGTTTACAACAACATATTGTATTTTTCAAAATACCTAGAAGAGAGGAATTAAAATATTTCCAACAAAGAGAGAAATAATGAATGCTCAAGGTGATGAATGTCCTAAATTTCCTAATATCTTGACTTTATCATTACACATTCGATCCACGTAACAAAATATCACATGTACCCTAAAAATGTGTGTAAGTATTAGGAACCAATAAAAAATAACATAACAGAGTCTTCTTATTTTTTATGTTAGTTACATCCAAGCCACTCTATTGCTGGAACACTATGGTAGTGGTTGTCATGGGGAGTGATGATAATGATGATGACGGTGGTGATGGTGGTGGTGGTGATGGTAATGGTGGAAACAATGATAATATGTAACTGCCAATAAACTTCTAAAAAGACAGCTAATTATGTGTCAGGCATTGCGCCAACAAAATTTCAGATAGTAATTAGATGTATCCCGACACCAGTTTGTTAAATATATGTTATTTTGCTAACTTTGCAGTAAAGAGATTGACATTCAGAGAAGTTGAATATGTTCCTCAAATCAATCAAACACTAATTAAGGAAAAATAAAAGTGGTTTAAATAATTAGACATAATCTTTGGTATGACCCAAATTTTAAGATATTGACTGTGGTTGAAGGAAAGGTGGAAATAAACCCAAATGATTACATAATATTGCCAATAAAGCAGATTTGAAAAGAAACAAAAGATCCATTCACAAATATTATGCATAGATACTTTATTCCGGGAGTGAAAGGAAAATGACAACTGCACAGGTGGTAGAAGCTCATGCCCAGGGGACAGACAGACACAGAAAACATCAACAGAATTCTCCGATGGTTCCCAGGGACAGAGCTGCTGGGCTTTCTTCCAAAGCTCTGGGAACCGGCACTGCTGAGGACTTCCTTTCTAAGTCTCCACCTGGACAGTGGCAATATGGCAGCCTCAGAAAGGAAACATTTTGCTATCAGGGGTCATCATGGGCAGATCATAGGCTAAGGGGAAAGAAGTTCCCTGTATATCCCTCGATGGCTTTGATGAGAAGATGCAGGTGAAGCTGTGGAATGAGGTGAGCCAAATATCCTTATCGTTTCAGCGTCCTGATGAATCCTGAAGCTGTTATTTGCTCTTGGGTGGATACTTTGGCTGGCAGGGTGGGGAAGGTGTCACCGGAGGATATTTCTGCTGGCACTGCTGAGGTGGGCAGGGCTTTGGACACTTTGGTGGTGGGCAGGGCTCAGGGCACTTCGGGGGTGGACATGGCTCTGGGCACTTTGGCGTGGGGCACACAGGAGGTGGCTGGCAGGGCTGCTTGCACTGCTGCTGTTGATAAGACATCCTGCTGGAGTCTCAGAATCTGAAAGAAATGATACGACAGTGTTCACGGGAAAGGAATCCTCCAGAGAGAGACGCCAAAGCTTATGTAATACCATGGCATATTATTTCTCCAATCTCCAAAAATTTATTTAAACTCTTAGCTCCCTTTTCATGACTTCCTGTCTTCTCCTTTCCACTTTAGCAAGTTGCTTCATCAGCCCTAGGAAATCCTGCCTTTCCTCATACAATTTCTCCAAAGAAAACATTTCTGTAATAAAGAAGCAAGCATGTTTTTCCATGAAAATAACATCTTCAGGAAAGGCAGTCACAAGTTCAGATCCCCTGGGCAATCTCACAAGCTATTCCTATCATCATTATCTGTTGTAAAGCACCGGTGGGTTGACTTGGGCACAGAGTAAGGGCTGTTCAGGAAGAAGTGCAGGCTGTCACACCTGCTAAGACACAACCCTTTGAAAAGGACACCAGGAAAATATGGAAAAGGGAAACGTACTTTATCCCTTTCTTCAAACAAAGGCTTTCCTATTAACTTCTTTGTTCATATGGACATATAACTATGCATTTTTTAAAAAGCAATATAAAACACTGTATCATGTAGTCTAATCCTGTAGTTCCATTCACTAAGTACCATCAAACCTATGATCATTGGTTTGGATCTGCCAAACTTGCCGTATTCAGATTAAATTCAACATTTCAGGGCACAAAGAACAGAGGAACTCAAGGAAGCAGACTCACCAGGTTCTCCAAAGCAGATCAGTGCTCAAGTATCAGGAGTTTAGGAGTTGTAGAGCAGAGAACCTCTTTATAGGGCCTGCTACCCCACCCAGCAGGAAGGGAAACTACCTAAAACTGGGCTGGTCCAGCAATGTCCCAACTGAAATGCAAATTTATCCATTACTGGCATGACAGGGATTCTCAAATTGGTAAATATCCTGTTCTGGGATCTCTCCACTGGATTAAGTGCTCCTGACTCATGGAGGCTCTGCCTTAGATCTCAATTTCAGTGACTTGCGGCAAAGAGGGACTTGGGGGATTCTCTAACTGGTGATCAAGGGCTCTCTTTCCTGACTGGAGGCAATGATTCCTCCCTTTCTTACACCTTCCCTAAATCATAAAACTTCCTGCCCTGATCCACTTTAGCTGAACGCCATATTGTTGTACATGAACCCATCTCCACCTCTACTTTCTTCGTACAATTTGCCAGTGTGCTAGAAGGAAGGAGAGACCTAACAAAGGCCTGAGTTCTGGCCCCAGATTTTTTTGCTAAGTTGTTTGACCACAGCCAGGTCAACTCTCCTCCCTGGAACTGTAAACAGAGGAGCATCATATTTACCTCTGGGTTTGGAGACACTGACCACATTGTGCCATCTATTGACCCTGTTCAAGCCTGAAATTTTCTGCTCCACCTCTATCTTTCTCTCACAGAACCCCAGATTTTACGTATATTCCTTTCCTCTTTGAGGGCTGTCTTCTACAACCCTCAAAGAGGGACTTGTGTCCCAGGATAGATACCAGAGTGAGATCCAGTCTCTCCAGTACGTTTGCCACTGCTGCCATCAAGGACGTGTACTAGAGCCTTTTCATTTGTAAAACTGTACTCTTATTCACCACATTAAGGAAATGGAGAAAAGGGAAACAAGGTTACAAGCATTCATTTTAAATATTTGTATTGAACCATGCCTGTATGTTTCCCTGTGAACATCCTATAGAGAGCAAGATGCATAGATTCACAGTATGTGATGTAAATAATTAGAAGTTTTCCACAATAGAGGTCAGAGCACTTAACGTCTGAAATCAAGGGGAAAATATAAACAAAGTGTGATCCTATGTGTTTGCTTCCTCTACAGGTTTTAGTGTTAGAAAAACAGAATTTTTTTATTTGTTTGTATGTTCTTCCATTGTCTTTTCCCAAAGCCCTCCAGCCCCATAACATGCTAGATTATCCACTCATACCCCAATGTATACCTCTCATCTGACCTTTTTATCATTGTTCACTCAATACAAATGTTATTCATGTGAATGTCTTTCACATCTTTTTTTTTTTTTTTTTTTTTTTTTTTTTTGAGACGGAGTCTCGCTCTGTCGCCCAGGCTGGAGTGCAGTGGCGCGATCTCGGCTCACTGCAAGCTCCGCCTCCCGGGTTCGCCTCAGCCTCCCGAGTAGCTGGGACTACAGGCGCCCACAACTGCGCCCGGCTAATTTTTTGTATTTTTAGTAGAGACGGGGTTTCACCGTGGTCTCGATCTCCTGACCTTGTGATCCGCCCGCCTCGGCCTCCCAAAGTGCTGGGATTACAGGCGTGAGCCACCGCACCCGGCTCACATCTTTTTAAAACTCTACCTGTAATCAATGGGACTTACTAAACATTGTATATTAAACATTTAAAATAATATTACTGGAGCTTTCTCATCTGGGCCATGATCAGGAAGCTTTCCAAGAATGTGGTTTTATAATTGGAGAAGAAGAAGGAAGAGGAAGATAAGGAAAAAGAGGAAGAGGAGTGACTCAAATTCTTTGGAGCACTCACCAGCTATCCTCCAGATAGAGCAAGAGCACTGAATCAACCCAGCATCACATCCCTCAGTTAAGTACGTTAGGTTTCCAGATCTGCAACTGCTCCAGTCTCTAAGGAAGGGCTTTTGGCCAAGATCTCCACTGGCCAGATGCTACAGAAATAGAACTATCATGTCAGTACCTTTGCGCCAGGTGTTTACAAATAGTGTTCTCACCAAATGCTTCCTATAGACCATTACACATGCCAAGCACAGTGGGTGAAGTAAACAGACTTCTCTCAATAGGTCCCCTACTCCTCCCCAGAGCCTCACATCACATCTACAACACAAATTCTTAGAGAAACGTCTGATTTCTAACATGAAAAATTGGGAAATGAGATAATACAGTTTGGGTCACTCCCTGAGACTCCCCTTCTGAGGACACCCCACTCAAACAGGCTGCTTATCACAGCAGTGCAGGCACCAGAGTGGCAGCAGCCCTAGTGCCCCCAGCATCTCAGACAGGCTCACTTTACAAGTTGAGGTGGAGAACTGGAAACTCACAGTTCCTCACAGACCAGCTACATGAAGAGTGGCCACAACACAAAGAGGGGCAGCTACCAGTCACAGCTTCCCCTAGTTATAACATCCAGGCCCTGAGACATAGAGTGAGGTATACTTCACACACACACACACACATACACACACACACACTCACACCCACAGACCATGTGTCTTTATCTGTCATCTATCTACATGTCTAAGGAGGTTAGCTTTATGTTCTTTAAGAGTCTAATAGCCTTAGGTTCATTCCTATTACTTCTACTCCATAATTTTCTAGGGGATCATTAATTATGAATTATTAGTACTTAAAATGACAGGAAAGAACAAATAACTTTAACATTTTCTGATTCAGATAGTATATTTGAATTTTATTAATTATATATTCACTCATTTGTGTTTGTGTATGTTTATAATGCTATGAAGTTTACATCACATACATAGTGTCGGCTAACTACTACTGCAATCGAGATACACAACTATTCCATTTCCACAAGGCTTCTCTGCTCCCCACTTATAGTCATAACCACCCCTCCCTTCCCAAATACTTACCTCTGGTAAATATTACTCTTTTATCCATCTCCATGATTTCATTATTTTAAGAATATTTGAGTGAATTTATACATCATGTAACCTTTTGAGAATTGCTCTTTTTTTCACATAACATAATTTCGTGGCAATCCATTCACTTTGTGCAAACAATTTTAATTTTGTCTAATACTTGATTCAACATTTTATCTCACATTTCAATACTATACATTCCACTAAACAAAATAGTACTGGCAAATAAAATTTTAAAATTAAATAGAAAAAAATTAAAAAACAGAAATTATGGGAAAATATTCTTGATATGTTCAGAGATATGCTAACTGCAACTCCGCATGCATATCACATATCTGCCTTCTGCTTTTATTTCTGAATAAAAGGCTAAGCATCCATTGTCCTTCCATGCTGAATCCGATAAATTACAGAACATACATATCATAGAATAGTGAAGATCATTAAACTGGATGTTTTGAAAGATTATTTAATATAATTTAAAATATTCTAATTGTACTAAAAACATATGTAAAGCATGACGCATTTTCATCAACATTTATTAAAAGATAGGAAACATGAAACAATATATTAAATGTTATTAATATATGGCTGGTGAAATTACAGATGATGTTTATTTTCTTGTTTTACTTTTCAAAATATTCTCCAAATTTTACCTATTATTGAGGAAGGAATCTTAAAATTCTGCTTTGAAAAGCTGACAAGAGACAAGCCTGTCCATTGCTCAATTAGTGAGACAATGGTCTTTTTTTTTTTCCAGCATTTTTGGTCAGAGATCAAGGGTGGGGCTGGATGCAAGTAGCAGTTGTTTTATTGTTATAGCTCTACATTTGATCACATCCCTTCTAAAATCTCTCTTGAAGAAAACCCCAATAATATGCCCCATCCTCATAGCAGTGACATATGTACACAGAAGCTACAGACACCCAATAGCCATATGTATGTATAAAAGAGTTCACCAAAATTGGCCGATCTTCCTAGGGTAAAAAACAATCAGGAATGAGTTTGTCTACTATCCAAGACCCAGGCAGATAGAAATCATAAAATTGGCCATAATATGATGAAACTGGAAGTAATGGATGATGGGTAGATAGGTAATAAAGATAATAGAACATAGTGATAACAATAGTACCTACCACTAAATTGTCATGAGAAAAAAAATTAAATCAGAGACTGCATATAAAGTACTTAGCACAGGCTACAGATAGTACTCAAAATAGTAAAGAAACACATGGTTAATTAAACAGATAGAGGCAAAACATAGATTTCAAGTTGTTTATGGTTAAGAAAGGTATTAACTTTCTCTTTAAGATTGTTTATATCATCCCTATTTTAAGTGTGTGCCAGAAGTTTTTAGGAAAAAGCAAATGAAAATATATGATTTGAATGAAGTGTGCAGAAATAATAAGATGGGCTGTTCTGCACATTTGTTCTTATGTGTTAAAAATGAGAGTTAACCTAAGCAGAAACTTAGAACAAAGGATAGAAAAAAATGTTTTAATTTGTCCATGTTATTTGAACTCTCTACGGACTTCCTCTTAATTCAGTTAGTACAAGAAAAAATAAATCTAAAAACAATAAATAGCAGTATGTTGATTTGTTGATTCGCAAAATATTAACATGTATAGATATTTTTATCCTGTGTGAAAATATATATAATGGTTTATTCTGTGTGAAAAAATATATAATGTTATATCCCATTTAGTCTACTGTTACTGTGGTTAGCGGTTTAGGACAATAAAAATATTGCTTATTTAAATATCACAAACTTCTGCTGGCAAATTACCTAAATTTTAGCTGAATCCTTATAAAAAACTGAATACCTCATTAGCACTAATCTTTCCAAAATGTATAAACCTTATAAATTCTACTTTTATTTTCTCTTTATGTTAGACCTGAATATTTAAGAGCAAAATTTAAGAGCTATTAGTAATATAAAGTACTTCAGTATGCTTAGTGTTAATGAGATTAAGAAGGTTATGTGGTAAATGATGGAATTAATCAGACACTTCTCCTTGTAAGAATCTTTTCAACACAGTGAATGTGCATAGGCTGTGGTCTCCCTCAAAAAAAAAGTCAAAAGGAAAACAAAGAAACACAAACAAAATTGTGAACAAAATTTGGAGAGGAAAGACTGTCTGAATTCTAACATGGGACAAGAGACCT